AGGAAGGGACTGGACCTGCCTGGACTGAGTCTACCAGGTTGATTGCAGTCCTCAGGGGAAGATTTGCCCTGGAGGAGGTGGGAATGGGGGGTAGGCTGGGGGTAAGGGGAGGGTGTGGGAGGGGGGAGAATAGGGGAACCCGTGGCTGATATGTAGAACTGAATGGTATTGTAAAATAAAATAAAATAAAAATAAATAATTAATTAAAAAAATAAAATAAAATAAATAAAATTTTAAAAAAAAGAATAAATCCACTGGTACAAACAGAGACTCTGGATGCTTATCTGTGTAGCCTCTACTGTGTATATTAAGTCAGAATAAACTTCTGAAACTGTAAGTAAGCCCTAATTAAATGCTTTCTTTTATAAGCATTTACCCCCTAGAGCTGTTCTTCTTTGCCAGTCTCCACCCAGTGACAATGACATTGGCTGACAGTGTCCACCTGATCTTCGGGAAAGGACCTTTATATCCCCTCCATTAGAGCTCCACTTCCTTTGCCCAGCTGAGCTTCCATTAGACATTAGAAAGTTTCCACTTGGTAGAGCTTTCCCTCTGTACCCAGGCTTAAGAAACTATCCCATGTTAAGTGCTGAGAACAGAGTTCAGGGAGATTCCAGTATGACAAATAACAATACTCACCTGTTCTCACCACCCTGGGAAATCTTCAGCCTCAAGTAAGAAAATGAAGTCAGAATGATTCAGGTCTTTTTTATCCAATTGTTTTATGTTCAGTGTCAAAGGGAATGACAATTTTACCTACCATTTTTCCCAACTGTTTTAGTATGCTCTGCTCTTTTTATGGGAGGGGAAGTTGGTGCAATAATTTGAGGCAAAAGAAATTTAAGGCATGAGCCTTACTTTCAAGGAATGTATAATCTATGTTGGCTATGGGTGTATAATGTTATACCTAACCTGTTTAAGTAAAGCAATGAATATTCTCTCTCAGTGTCAATGGGCTAAGAATTCAAAAGCATCTGGAATATAACTTAGTTGGTAGAATGTTTACCTAGATGCATGAAGCCCTGGGTTAGATCCCCCATTACCAAATTACTGGGCTTGGTGACAAGTGCCTGTAATCCCAGCACTCAGGAAAGTTGAAACAGGAAGGTCAAATTCACAGTCAAAACAGGCAAGGTTCTTCCATGATACCTAAGATCCTGACTCAAATGAGTAGCAAGGTGGTTTCGGCTTAGTCTCTTTCAAAAAATTGCAATCAATATGTACAGATGGAGTTTCTCTGTGTCTCAGCAGCTGCTCCCAAATAACCACAAAGAGGCTTAATATTAATTATAAATGATCAGCCAATAGCTCAGGCTGGTTACTAGCTAATTCTTACATTTTAAATTAACTCAATTTCTTTTTTTTTTTTTCTGGTTTTGGTTTTGGTTTTGGTTTTTGGTTTTTTCAAGACAGAGTTTCTCTGTGTAGCTTTGGAGCCTTGTCCTGGTACTCACTCTGTAGACCAGGCTGGTCTTGAACTCACAGATATGCCTGCCTCTGCCTCCCAAGTGTAAAGGTGTGTGCCACCACATCCAGCTAACCTAATTTCTTATCTACCCTCTGCCACATGGCAGTACCTTCTTTCAACACGGTATGTTCATCTTGCTTCTTTCTGCATCTCTCTCAACTCCTTTGACTCTGCCATTCTTCCTCCCAGCATTCTCTTTGCCCCAAAAATCCTACCTACCTATCAGCCAATCAGCTTTTTGTTAACAATGAGAACAACACATTTTCACAGTGTACAGAAGGATTATTCCACAGCAAAGATGTCCATTAGGAGCTATGTGTGGTGGTGCACACCTGTAATCCCAGCATTCTACAGGCTAAGACAAAAGGATTACTACAGGTTCAAGGTCAGCCTAGTCAACATGGAGAGTTCTAGCCCAGCCAGAGCTGGAAGCTATTTCAAAAACAGTAGTGCTCGGGCTAGAGAGATGGCTCAGTGGTTAAGAGCACTTACTGTTCTTCCAGAGGATCTGAATTCAGTTCCCAGAACCCACATGATGGCTCACAACTGAGTGTAACTCCAGATCCAGGGAATCTAATACCCTCTTCTGGCCTCTGCAGGTACATAATACATGTGCATGGTCACATACATATATGCGGGCAAAATACTCAAATACATAAAATAAATCTTAAAGAAAACAAAAAGGTTGCTCCCTTCAGCAGTACATACACTAAAATTGGAACAATACAGAGAAGATTAACATGGCCCCTGTGAAAGGATGACATGCAAATTTGTGAAGTGTTCCATATTAAAAAAAAAAAAAAAAAAAAGTTTGGTGTCTTAGCTAAGGTTTCTATTGCTGCAACAAAACACCAAGACCAAGAAGCAAGCTGGGGAGGAAAGGGTTTATTTGGCATATACTTCAGCATTGCTGTTCATTACTGAAGGAAGTTAGAACAGGAACTCAAACAGAGGAGGGTCCCTAAGGCAGGAACTGATGCAGAGGCCATGGAGGGGAGCTGCTTCCCCTGGCTTGCTCAGCCCATCTTCTTATAAAACCCAAGGACAGCAAATGAGAGATGGCACCACCCACCATGGGGTAAGCCCTCCCACATTTTGAGAAATCACTAATTGAGAAGATGCCTTACAGCTGGATCTCATGGAGGCCTTTCCTCAACTGAGGCTCCTTCTTCTGAGGACTCTAGCTTGTGTCAAGTTGGCACACAAACCAGCCAATGTGGTTGACAAGACGGCTTTATTGATAAAGTGCTATATGTGCAAGCATGAGGACCTGTGTTTGATCTCCAGACTCCACACAAAGAAGCCAGGGATGGCGGCACACACTTGTAATCCCAGCTCTGGAGGATGGAGAGCAGATCCCCAGAGTTCCCTAGCCTAATCAGAGAGCTCCAAGCCAATGAGAGACCCTGTTTGAAAAATCAAGGTAGGTTTGGCCTGGTGGCACATGGGGACAAAGCATAGCAAGTTCCTGGTGAGCCAGAACTACAAAGTGAGACCCTGTCTTTAAAAAAAAAATAAAAGAGCAAGGTGTATGGATGGCACCTGAAGAAATCAACCAAGGTTGTCATATGCATGAACAAAACTGAATGTAGTGGTGCGTGCTTATAATCCCAACACTTGGAAGGTGGAAGCAGGAGAATCAGGAGTTCAAAATCATTCTCAGCTAAATAAAAATCCAAAAATAAAAAAGGGAGGGTAGGATGTATGGGAGGAAATGGGCTCAACACACATTATGTAACATACCATGGAAGATGAATATATATACAATAAAAGCTTTACAGAATGACTAAAAATATATTAAAATAGAAGTTGTCACAAAATTGCATGTCATCATGTTTTCATTAGTTTTTTTATTTTAAAAATGTAATGTTATTTTTAATAATTTATTCATTTTTATTTTATGTGTATTGGTGTTTTGCCTTCATGTTTGTCTATGTTGGGGTTGGGTACCCTGGAACTGGAGTTACAGACAGTTGAGGGCTGCCACGTGGTTGCCAAGAATTGAATCCAGGTCCTCTGGAAGAGTAGTCAGTGCTCTTAACTGCTGAGCTTCTTTCCAGCTCCTTATGTTATTATTTAATGTGCATGAGTGTTTTTCCTGTGTGTACATACATATGTACACCACACATATGTACACCACACATACGTCTGGTGCCCCCAGAGGTCTGAAGAGGGCACTGGATTCCTTGGGACTTGAGATACAGATAGTTGTGAGCTTCCATGTGAGTGCTGGGAATTGAACCCAGGTCCTCTGCAAGAACAAATGTTATTAACCACTAAGCCAAATCTCCAACCCCAAGTCATTTTTGGTTTTGTTTTTTAAAGAGGTCTCATGTAGCCCAAATTGGCCCTAAACTCAATATAAAGCTAAAGTGACCTGATCCTCCTGCCTTGATCTTCCAAGTGCTGGGATTAGAGGCATGTGCCACCATCACATTCCTGTATGAGTAGAGAATTGGGGATCAAACCTGGGACTTCATACATGCTCATTAAACAATTAAACTATATTCCCAGGCCTTTTGTTATTTTTTTTAAAGGCAATGTGTTCAAATAGCATTTTACTAATCGAGCAGTGTACTAGGCCATGGGAAAATGGAAGTAAAAACAATCTTTACCTTCCAGAACCTGGTCTAGTGGGAGAGACACGTGTTGTGAGTTGTGCTGTGGAGTGCTGGGTAAGGACCAGTGATGTCTGTGCTGAGAACTGGCCTGTGAAACACACTTTGTCACATTCAGAAAGAGCACCTCAGACTTTGAATGGGTTTCATTCAGTCTTCTCAGCACTGTGATTGCACAGACAGAATATTACCTTAATTCTCCCAACAAGTCTTGGGAAAAGTATGTCTCTGTTTTATAGATGAATATATTGAGAACAGGGAAGATTACATAACTTGACACTGTTTGTTTGTTTGTTTATGTATTATTTATTTATTTTTTTCAGGCAAAGTTTCTCTGTGTAGCCCTGGCTGTCCTGGAACTCACTCTGTAAACCAGGCTGGCCTTGAACTCAGAGATCCACCTGTTTCTGCCTCTGCCTCTAGAGTGCTAAAATTAAGGGCATGCACCAGCACACCCAGCTTATTACTGGTGGTTTTGTTTTTTTGTTTGTTTGTTTGTTTGTTTTGTTTTGTTTGTTTGTTTGTTTTTTGTTTTTAGGCAAGAGTATATAGCTCAGGCTGGTATGGAACTCTCAGTCCTGCCTCAGCCTCTTAAGTGCTAGGATTCCAGGTGTATGTCACCATACCAAGCTATGGCCTATCTTTTAAATTGTAGAGTCAGCATTCAAACTCAAGTCTTCTTTCAAATATAACAGACATATTTTCTGTGCAAAATAAAAGAACTTTAACACAAAAGTCTACATTAAGAATTCTATGAGCCGGGCAGTGGTGGCACATGCCTTTAATCCCAGCACTTGGGGCGACCAGAGGAAAGCAGATCTTGGTGAGTTCAAGGACAGCCAAAGCTACACAGATAAACTCTGTTGAAAAAAAAGAAAGAAAGAAAAAGAAAAAAGAAAGAATTCTGTGTATGGCTGGACATGGTGGTGAATGTCTTTAATCCCTGCACTTGGAGACAGAGGCAAACAGATCTTGGTGAATTTCAGAACAGCCAGGGCTACATAGACCCTGTCTCACCTATGGGGGTGTGGATCAATGGCAAATTGGTTAAGAGCACTTGCTGCAAAGTGGGGGTGGGAGTAGGGGGCTGGAGAGATGGCTCGGAGGTTAAGAGCACTGGCTGTTTTCCAGAGGTCCTGAGTTCAATTTCCAGCACCTACATGGTGGCTCAGGACTATCTTTAGTGAGATCTGATGCCCTCCTCTGTCATAAAGAGCACTCATATACGTAAAATAAATAAATCTTTATTTAAAAAAAAGCACTTGCTGCCCTTCCAGAAGACCCATGTTTGTTCTCACATGGTGGCTCACAATCAGAACCATCTGTAGCTCCTGTTCATGGGATCCAGTGCCCTCTCCTGGTCCTGGTACCAGGCATACTCATGTAGTGCACATGAATACAGGCAGGCAAAACATGCACATAAAAATAAATCTGTTTTTAAAAAGAATTCTATGTAATCTTTTCCATAAAATATTTATAGTTGCTTCTGTCAAATGTACATTCAGATGAATTCAGTTTCTAAATTTCATAGGAACTCTATTAATACCCTAGGTAACTCAGTGCCAGACTGTGCAGTCTGGACAACAAGGGCAAGACATAAAAGAAGGGCACTGCTGAGAGTTAAGAGGACTTGTGCAGGGCTTCAGCGCCTGGACAACAATAAAGATGACTGTGCGTTCCAGACCCTGGACTCACAGGAGCAAGGCTAACAATAAATTAGGCACATTAGTGAGACAATGCTGAGTCCTCTACCCACATGGTGAGCTGGAAAGTAGCTGTCTGATTCTCTCAGGTAAGAGCAGGAGGAAGGGAAGAGATGGAGGGCCTCAATGTCAATTTACCCAGTTAAAGCCCTGGTAGCAGTGGCCATACCTTCCCATCTGTTTCCCTTCTTTCCTTCCTTTCTTCTATTCTCTCTCTCTCTCTCTCTCTCTCTCTCTCTCTCTCTCTCTCTCTCTCTCTCTCTGTTTTTCTAAACAGGGTTTTTCTGTGTAACAGCCCTAGCTGTCCTGGATCTCACTCTGTAGACAAGGCTGGCCTCATACTCACAGAGATCTGCCTGCCTCTGCCTCCCAAGTGCTGGGATTAAAGGCATGAGCCACCACTGCCTGGCTAGTTCTTTCTCTTTGTTGTTGAGAGGTCTCACTGTATAGCCAAGGCTAGCCTGAAACTCATGATCCTCCTGCCTTAGCCTCCCAAGTGCTGGGATTAAGCTCAGCTCACTCTCATTTTCTGGAAACATATTCCAACATTCCAAGATCTCCATGTAATCATATTGTCACCTTGCATATCAAGAAGCACATATTATTGTTCTGCTGGACTGGGGCTGTACCAAAGCTTCTGGTCTCCTAGAACACAAGAGAACAATTTAAGGAACAAATAGATTAAACATAAATAAAAGCATGTTTGCCATAACATCAAAGTGCCAGTGCCATACCATATAGGGACCATGACAACCTCCACGTGGAAGAGGATGCCAGGCTGGATTAAATTACCTGGAAATGGGCCTCTCCCTGACTAGTAAACAATAAGCAAATTAGGAGGTGCTATGGGGTCAGACAGGATCCAGCAGCCTAGACCCACACCAGCGGAAAAGCCATTGTCTGAGTTGCTTTCTGGACTTCCTGACCTCAAACACCTACCCCTCCCAACATATACACTCAATCCAGTGCCTCCTACTCTGCCTCCCCAATCCCTTGGTGAGGAGGCCATGCCCATCACAGGACAGCAGACCGTTGAGGTTCTCCAGTGAGAAGAAAGATCATCCAGCCCTGCTGCATAAGGGTCACAGGAGAAGGATGTTCCCCAACCTTAATATTCTGAGATCCTCATCTCTCAGTCCCCACTCACTTCTGGTTCTACTCATCCAGAACATCTGCACTTTTCTGGCTGAAGTGAGCAACAGTTGGGTGGGATGGAGTGTTTCTCTGAAGGCATCAGTCTTCAAAGCATGCCCTGGTGGTTTTGTACCTGAGGGAGAATTCAGCAGACTGGGTGTGGCTGAGAGTCTTGTCGGAGATGAGGAATCTCCAATTCACTCTTGTTTTGTTGGGATTTTGTGGGGAGGGATGGTTTGGGAGGAACAGCGTCTCACTGTCCCTGGTATTGAACTTGAAGTGATCCTTCAGCCTCTGCCTCCCAAGTGCTGGAATTATAAGAGTATACCAACACACA